GGTTAGGTATGGCTAGGAATAAATGATACAGAGACAATCTAACTGTAAGAATTTTTTTTCTGGCTAAGCATGATCAAGCATTAGTGATAAAAAGAGATAGTAACAGGCGTAAAAAAACACAGATGGAAAATATTCTACTGTTTCTTTTTGGAAAAATCCATGTCCATGTAAGATCTAACAACTGTTTGTGCTTTTGCATAATCACCAGAAACTTGAATACCTTCTTTCAACCACATATGACTACTAACACACCTTTCAATTGTTCGTGGTTTTAATGATCCACGTCCAGTTGAACAAACATCAGCAGCTGAGGAAAAAGTACGCTCAACTGCACATGAGGATGCAGAAGATGCCAAGTAGTCCTTGGCTAATGATGCAAGAACCGGATAGGTGGATGCATGATCCTGAAAAATGAAAATAAAAAATAAAATCATAATGAGATTAATAACTTAATGCAGGTGATAAACAAAGAGAAATTCATACCTTCCACCATAACAAAAGCTCTTTGGGACACTTGGTAGAGATTTCTGGGAGGCGATCCATGTTGTTGATATATACCTCGAGCTCTTTGTTTTCTTCTGTTGATTTTGCAGGCTTGCTGAACATTTCAAAAATGTCATCTTCTTCAACCGGAGGAGTTTTCTTTTTGACTATTTGAATATTGTCTTCCTTCTTCTTCTTCAGAACCTCCACACGCTTCACCAATTCTTTCTCCAGAAGTTTCTTGGCCACGTCCGCTTTTTCAGGCCAGCAATGGGTGAATAGCCCTAATCGGAATGACGGGTGGAGCAAGGTAGCCATAATGAGAGTTTCACACTCGAGCGCCTTGTCTTGGTAGATCTTGAGTTTCTTGATCATTTTAACATACATTGGATGCATTGCGTGTCCTCGGCTGCACTTGTCCTCTTTCTTCTTCAAAGTTAAGATTGTATGATAATAGTTTGGCAAGACAAAAGCACCTGTAGGACCATCACCCTCCATAATTTTGGTCAGGCGGTTAAAAGGCTGAAATATAAAATTCAGCATTGTAACTAAGATCTGAATATATTAGTATTACACAAATTACTTACTTCTAACTCTTTATTCAATTCATTAATTGGCGCCCATTCCTTCCTTGTGAACTGAATCTCCTTGAAGTGACCGAGCTTCTTGGGCTTTTCCTTGCGGCTGGATTTGGCTCTTTGATCTTGATATTTTTCATACTCATCAAGTAGTATTGAATCAATGACCTACATTTGAGAACATTAGTAAATGTATCTGGTAGAAACAAAATAAATAACATACATCTCTGGCATCATAGGCACAAGTTCGACTTTCGTATTTTATATTCCAACGGATTCCATAACCAGCAATCAAGTTCTTCAAATCTTTTCCGGCTGCTCTTCGCTCGAATTCTTGTCTCCAGACGCAAGAGCCGGTGATTTTTTTTACCACAAAGTCCAACTATGAATGTAATTTGATTGGTCAGTATGTAAAGAAATACAAGAGATAAAAAGACTCACAGCGGTAGTCAACTCATTCAAGTCATTAGAATCATTCCTATTGGCCTTTGAGGAAGATTTATTTCCATCCTTCTTCCCGTCCTTTTTTCCATTCTTCTCCCCGTCCTTTTTCCTGTTTTCTCCTTTGTCCTCAGTGCCATTGTCATTGTCATCATCATTGTCCTCATCATCATCATTGTTGTCGTCATCTGAGTTCTCCTTTTCATCCTCTGTACAATCACTTCTACCATCGTTTGAATCATCATCTTCATTGTCACCTTCGTTACCATCTTTGTCCTCCTCGGTTATCTTTGGCATCTTATTGGAGTAGGAGGAAAGAACCTAAGAATGCTTCTTCAATTTTGGTGGTGGCGGTGATTCGAGACCCAATTACTTCAAACCAGCATTCACAACAAGAGCCATTTTATGACAAAAACACTTAATGTGCATTGTCTTAGGGTCCCATTTGAAATCGGTGTTTTCTCCCAGATCAAGCAGTTTTTCGTGCATTGTTTCAGCCATGGTCATGTTATTTGATCCAGAATCGGTGGTCTGACAAAGCATGTATACATGAGAAGAAGACAAATTGGTTTTTCCCTTTGATTATGAAAATGGATCACAAGTTGAGATTACTTATCTTATTGATGAGTTGATGCTTCTTCAATATGTTTATAATCGGTTCGGCTAAATATCTCCCTTGATGTAACCAGGAAACCAACTTGATGCTCAGATGAAGCACCACGTAATTCCAATCGTTATCGATAAAAGATACTGATACACCAATGAATCCATAGCGATTTCCTTTGGTTGTCCATACGTCATGTATTAAAAAAAATTTGCTATTGGCTGCCTGAGAGTAAATAAGATGAAAAATGTAAGTAAATCCTTCTGAATGATTATTAGGAATAGACTACTTACTTTTAAGCAATAAAGCATTGCCTCTTGCAATTCCAAATACGCCTTTCTGGCCCCGGTTGCCGCCCATTTTCGTTTGAAGAGTATTGCAGCTGGTTCACAGTAATTAAACACCGCTTTGAGGTATGGATCTTCCACTCGATTCCAAGGTATTGACTGACGTAAGAGCCACAAAACTATGATTTGGTTTAAGATAGTATTGTCGAACTTTTCCACTCTGGCAAAATGAGTCATTAGGTCTCCATTTCCATTCTTCTTCTTTTTTTTTCTTCTTCAAGGGAGGTAGGGGGAAGTTTTGCTCCAGCGGCAATAGCTTTGGCACTATTTGGACATCCATCCGAGACCCTTCCACTTTGACGAGAACCATCACGGTGCACACAAAGATTCGAAAGACTAGACGCTGAAACCCTGACTTCTTTCTTGCACCACAAACAGCTATAGGTTGACGCAGGTTTATTGGCCGGCTCAAAAAATCAAAAAAAGGAAAAGAAAAAATCAATTTTTATTCATGGACAGAATTATATGATATTGTTTAGAATTACATCATCTTTACAACGAAACGGTTCTGAAAAAAAAACTTTGACGTCATCCTCCTCTGGATTTTTTTGTTGGCGTTTCTTGACTTTAGAATTTTCTTCATCAGAGTCTTGAGCAAGATCAATGTCCTTGGCAGTAGTTTTTGATTCAGAATTTGCAGCAGCTGGGCCTGTTTTTTTGGGTTTTTTGGGAACTTTCTTGCGTGTTTGCTGAGACTGAACAGGAGTAGCGTGAGGGGTTGAATCTGATTCAGAGGGCGCATTGGTTCTTTTTTTGGGTTGACTACTGGTTCCAATGGATGTTCTTTCTGACAGAAGTGGCTGGGTGATTGTTTGACGGGAATCAGGT